AAAAACAAAGCAACATCATCAACAACAATTAATCAACAGAGTAACAGCATCAACAACTGTGTGGGTGATTTTCCGACCACACTGCCCGCTTAGTAACCAGCTGGAGAGCACTGGCAGAATAAATGGCACCTGACTGACCTGCAACAGAACTATAAGAATTCCGCGGTGGTTTCGACCACCCGGGGGCACTCCGACGATCAAGTCAGTATATCTCTCAAAGATAAATCAAGTACTAAACTCACAAGCTTGAGTATATAAAACATACCTTAGACCCATGGGGGTGCCTCTCTTTTATAGCCAATACAATCCTAGTCCCAATAGGAACCTGGCCCTAATGGATTTAGGATTACTGCTAATCTGGGACTCCCAGTGGGATTGGGATAAACTCTCTAGGAGTCTTATCTTTACCCAAACTGAAGTCTTCTCTTCATTCTAGGACTCTTGTCCTTCATCCAGGTTGAGTTCCTTTTTCATTTTAGGACTCTTGTCCCTTATCCACTTATCTCGGATTCCGATATCTTCGGAGATAACCTCGGCTTTACCGAGATTATCTCGGCGTCACGACCAGGACACGTGGCACCTCGGCTGACACGTCGGCGTCACCTTGCCACATGTTGGTACTCAGAAAATATATCCCCACAACAACAATGAATCATCAACAAAAATGAATCAACCCAAAAAAAAAGAAAAGAAAAGAAAAGAAAAAATAGAGCATCAATACAGATCTGTGTATACACAGATTTGTGTGTACACACAGAGGATGGCAGGTGCCGGTGATTCTTCTTTCTCTCTTCCTCTCTGTTCCCATTCCTTCTCTCTTCTCTCTCTCTCTCTCTCTCTCTTCCTCCCTCCCTCTGTTTCCGATATAAAAGAGGGGAAAAAAATCAAAACGACATCGTTTTGGATTCAAGCCAACTCGAGCCACGGAAATTTCAAACTCTGAAGCATTTTTCTTTAATAATATATATTTTATTCTAAGTTTATTTTTTAGAAAATTTTATTATACACACTTTTTGAGAGGCACCATATATACTTTTAATTATGTCACTTTTTTATAATTATGATAAAATTTTAATTATAACTCATGAGATCTTTGGTTATGCTTCATATGATGTTTGGTTATATATATATATATATATATAAATTTTTTTTAATTATGATTTAGAAAATATGAAATTATGTCATTTTTCTTACTTCCGTTATAAGGTTCATGTCTTTCCCTTATCTTTTACATTAAAGGGAAATTCTTTGGAGTGTGTTCCATATGCGCCATTGGTTACGATTTTTATGTCTTTGGTTTTGACCAAGATTTCAAAAAACGATTGCGGTAGTGTGGTTACGGTTGCGGGGTGTAAAGGTCGAAACGCAATGATTGTGGTAACTAGAACTGTGAATTTTTTTATTTTTTTACACAATTTTTTTTAAAAAACTTACTCGATACGCATATTTTTTCTTCAGAATCACATTTATTGGGGTTTAAAAAAAATTTTGATCAATTTTTGTTAGTTTTAAAATATAATCCAATAAATTTCATATTTTTAAATCACTATAAAAGGAACTTTTTACATTTTATTTCAATAGTTAATGACTTTATATGTCATAAATTCATATTGTACCTCTTATTTTATTTATTTTTTTAAGAATAATTGATTTTAAATATCTACAAAATTATTTTTGACCAATACCTGAACTAACTAAATAAAAAAATGTTTACAATTATTAAATGAAATGATTATAATAATAAAAATTGAGATGTAAACAAAAATTATTTTTGAGCTACTGAATATTGCAAAATGTGTATAATGTATATTTTGTAAGTTTTTTTTTTTAAAGAGAAATTGTTTAGAATATTGTAAATGTGTATAATAGTGTGTAACAAGCTGTTACGGTATCATTATGGCCGTTACCAAAATTGAAACGCCCATTACATGTTTTAATTTCTGTCACACCGCAAAAATGGGTGTAACAGATAGTGCCTACCACAACAACCGTTAAATAACAGTCGCAACCGTTACGTAACACCGCTTTTTGAAACCTTGGTTTTGATCTACTGAGTTGTGCCATTTGTGATTATCAAACTCACAAATGACATAACTTACATATGGTACACATCTTGTACCATAGCATTCACTACATTAAAATATGGATAAATATTTCATAAAAAATAATTTATTTAAAAATCATTTAATAATAAGAAAATTCTTTTAAATAAAAACAAAGGCATAAAAATCACTATTTTCTATTGTCTCTCACTTTAAAAATATATGAATTTTTTACGGTATTATTTTTCATAATTCTTTTGATGAAAAAATAATATCATTATGCCTTTTGAATTGTTTATCACATATATTTTTCATAATCAAGGCGACGAAAAATAATCAATCTTATGCCATAATTCTTTTGATAAAATTTTTATGGATAAATTACACTGACATTTCTTAATATTTAAAATAAATACCATAAGTTTTATAATTTTGACATAATTATGTTGAGTTTTCTTAAGATTTTAATTCATATAATATTTAACTTTTTTTTTATATCAATAATTCATTAGTCATATGGATAAAAAAATAATGTTGTGATCTCTTTTACCTTCAAATATATATTTTTCCCTGTTTATTCTAATGTTTTCACATTATTTGTATTAGTTTCAGTCCATTTATTTTTAATAAGAAGAAAAAATAATGTAATTATGTCAAAATTATGGATCTACTTGTATTTTTTTAAAACATCATGGGAGGTCAATGTAATTTACCTTTTATTTGTGATTTTATTTGATGTAATTTTTTTTTAAAATTTTTTACAATCAAAAATATAATTTTTAAGAAAATTAAAATTATTTATTTAAAAATGATAGAATTGGAATAAAAGTTGAATCTTTTGGAAATAAATTATGAAAAAATTTAATTTAATTATTCACAATAAAATTTAATAGGACTTGCTAATAGCTTTAATAAGCAAGACTTATTATTAGTAAATTTTTTTTAATCAGTATTAATGTCCGACGACCCAACTGGATGGAATGCAAATCACCTATACCCTTATGGTGCCCTTAATCTTATTGGTCTATAATGATGACATTTTTTTTTTTTTAATTAGTTAGATTTGTCTATAATGATGACATGAAGAACAATAATTAATTTTCACAATTAGGTAGTCATTATCTATCGGGAAAGATTATGGACACATTTCTTAATGGGTGTATACTATATTTACTTTATACTTATAGAAAAAAAATTACATAATTTTACATTACTTGAGTCATAATTAATAAAAAAATCATAACCAAATACAAAAATTCATAATTAAATATCTCAAAATAATATCATAACTAAAGAAAAAAATTGATCATAAAAATACATATGATATGTGATATGTGGTGTGTATAATAAAATTCTCCTAATCTATAATAGGTAACAAGACTAAACAAAAGAGAATAAATTAAGAGTGCTTTCTAAATATAAGATGTAAGATAGATGAGTTGGTATTCCCGGAATAGTGAATATCCAACTTGGATTGACATCTAATGGACTATGCTTTGCATATAATTTTTTTTTGGTAAACTGGAACTAATAAATAGATTAAATAGAACAGTACAAAGTTCTGGGATAATTAATCCTGCGAGCATCATTATATAGTTGATTAGCAATACATGATGGAGCAAAGTCAAAAATATGTAAGCTATCAACTATAGGAGAAACTTGATTTGCTAGAATATCCGCGCAGCTATTCTCTTCGCGGTAGATATGTTTAACCACTTGGATTTCCAGCCGCTCTAACAGGAACCTGCAATCATGAATTAAATTACTTAAGTGATGGTTAGCATTTTCTTTACCCATGATGAGTTGTTTGATAAGTAAAGAGTCGGTTTCCACTTCAATATTTCTGTAACATTTATCAAGAGCCAAATTCAGGCCATCTTAGAGTGCCCAAAATTCTGCTTCTGACATAAAGCAATTCCTATGTTTTTGCCAAATCCAGTAAACCATTGGCACCATTTATCTCGGATTATTCCTCCGCCAAAGGCAGGCCCAGGACAGCCCTTGGCTGAACCATCTGTGTTCAATTTGTAGAGAGGGGGGGGGGGGGGGCGCCAAGAGATAAGTTGGGTGGATTTTGTTCGAGTTGTTTCGAATGGGTTGGAGGTGGGGTGACAAGAGTTGAAAGGGGTCTGCCATTCAAGAGCCAAGGTAGTGACAAGGGTTGAAAGGGCTGGGGTTGTTTGGAGAGAAGCAATGAGAATTTCTAGCTTTCAAAGGGACCCACAAGTGATTGGGAAAATAATAGACCAAGCAACATTGGTGGGATGGAGTTCTATAGATTGACAATTTGTGCGGATCCAATCCATGAAAGCAAGGTTGAAAGAGTCCTTGAGGGGTAAAGGAATCCCAATGGAGTTCCAGTATTTAGGTCTAAACATTAGATTTATTTTTTAAATTTAATGATACGACACTCTATTAAATATCTAAATAATTTTTTTTTGTTTATTTTTAATTATTAATCAATCATACACATTATTGAGTCTAAAAAATAAATTTATATATCATTTTTTAATATTTTTGATAACCTAATGTTCCCATTTTTTTTTGTTTTTTTGTTTTGGAACGTATAGAGCTGGACCCACAAACCATTTTTTTTGGAACGTATAGAGCTGAACCCACAAACCAGGCAGGTGAGGGATATGGCGAGTAAGGATCTCTCTTGGATCTCTTTCCTTGATTCCCTATTTAGTGGATCATTGAGCCCACTTTTGAGTCTAATTTCTATGATTCGAATCGTTTACATTTTAAAATTTGTCGAGTATATCATGTCTCTAAAAAGTCAAGTCGACCAAATATCGAAAATTACGTAAAAGTTTTATTAAAAAATAAGCGATTTTGGGATGGTTTCCGATAGACAGGTTCTTGTTAATTTTCTAGCATTCTTTGCTACTTTTGGTTAGTTTCTCACTTTTTTAGAGGGAATTTTGCAGCCGGGTCAGACGAGAATGGACTCTGTAATTGATCAGATGGTACCCTATGGGTTCACCAAGGACCAGGTTGGGAGTACGGTCAAGCAACTTCTCAAAGCGAGACTGAAAAAGCCCAAAAGGGTTGTTGAAGTTCGCCAGTTTGAATTTTGTTACGTGACAGGTGATTTTTATTAATAATGAGACTGAAAGAGCCCAAAAGGGTCGTAGAGATGCAAAGAGACAGGATGTGAACGCGGCTATGGCGCCTTATCCAGACACGACTCTTTTTTATTTGGAACGTATACAGCGGACTGACAAACCGGGTTGGCGTGGGCCATGGCACACTTGTATATGTTTGGCTTCTCAGTTGCTATCGGCAACCAAAAGCACTGGCCTTCGGGTTGTATCCTGCAAAAGCTCAGAAGCGATGGCCCTGGCAGTGGGGCAGGAGGGATCGTCCCAAGATTCAACAGCAGCAAGTTTGGCTTCTCAGAAGCTATCGGCAATCAAAAGCACTGGCCTTCGGGTTGCATCTTACTTTACTAATGATCCTTCAAATCACAAAGATCATTATTCTGGTTCCAAAGTAGAGTCTGATGATGTTGAATCTGCAGGTCTGACGAACCCACCGACAGCGATCTCAACAACTTCTTCACAAACCCATTCACCTTCATCATCATCATCCACTCCTTCTCACCCCATCTCAATTACCTCCCAAAAACCAAACTTTCAATCTGAAACCCAAACCCAAACCCACTTATCAAACCCAATAGCCAAAGCTTTCCGTGAGCTGGAGATGGGCAAATCGTTTCTCACTTTCATACTGCCTACAGCCACAATGATCTTCGCACTACACGGCAAAGATTCCTCCCCCGGAGTTTTGTATTCGATCTTGTGCTTACTTTGCGCTGCCCTCGTCGCCTTGCTCTACGGAATATCGCTGCGTGACTTGTTTCCTGGGATTGCAAATTCATTTGAACAATTGGGAATTGCATTTATTTATACATCGTTTTTTGTAGTGGTTTCATCTCACCTTCCCTCGGCCGTTTTTTGGATTCCCTTAATCTGTTTTATGGCATCAATGCCACTATCTATCTGCAGTTGTCTACCTGTTAAAAAGAAGGCCAATACCAAAGGATTAATGCTTGAGACCCCCCAAAAATAGAAAGTCCGGATCCTTTGCCATGGTTTCCGACAATGGTTCTTGCCGTGGGTCCAAAACGACGTCGTTTTTGCCTCTTTTTTTATTTATTTTTTATTTATTTTATTACCCTTTTGCCCTTTTTCTTGTCTCTCAGTTGAGAACCCTTAACCCACCCAAGAGCAAGAACATAGAGACGTTTGAGGAGGGCGACGACGGCGCATTTACATATCTCACTCCAACTCCTAGATCCCTAAATCTCCAATCCTTCATAGACGATCGAAGGGGAGAACAAAGCACCAGGAAACCAGCAAACCAATCAAGCCGCCATTGCCGCTGCCACCATTTTTTATTGGATTCTTCACTGGTAAGTTTGTTGGTTTTTTGTTTTGATTCATTCCAACATTCATTCACAGGTTTGGTATTTGTTTTGATTCATTCACTTCACTCTAGCCCTCACATTTTTGTTTGATTTCCTTTTTTAAAAAATGGGATTTCGTTTACAATGGAGGTTGATTACAATTTTAGTTATGATTTTCTAAAAAAATTCGGTTTTGTTATGATTTTCCTTTTAAAAAAAAGTAGGTTCTGTTTTGATTCACTTGAAAAAAAAAAAAAACCAAATAAATAAATAAATAAATAGAAAAAAAAATTGGATTTTGAGATCATCAATCAATTGTGAGCAAGGGATGTAGATATGTATGAGATTCAACTCTAAATGATCCGAAATTCAGTTGTGCTGCTTTTATCTAATTCTGTTGTTAATTGTATTCTAATTTCCCAACTTCTCTTTTTGTTGCAAACTAACTGTTTGATAAATGTCTTGAGAGATAATCTTAATATATAATTATGTTGAAGAATTTTTGCTGCAAACTAAAATTTTCTTTTTGACTTAATTGGTTTTCAATAAATAGACTATTATTCTTAAATTGATCCTTGTTAATTTCATTTTTATTTGTTATTTGTCAGGTTATTAATCTAAACACTAGCGATATAACTGGAGGTTTGGAGACAAGTCAACAATTTAGGTGGTGGTTTGGGCAGATGCTATCAACTTGTGACCAGTTGCAAGAAAAAGATGATGCTTGATGCTTTAAACTATTAGATTGGCTACTAAGTATTGATGGATGGGAATTCAACTGAGCTAATTAGTTTTTGGTTTGTTAGAATTAATGTTTAGGTGTTGCCGTTTTTGGTCTGGTTTCCTGTTGTGTATGTTAATTGTTATGTTGCTTTATGGGCAATTGGCCCTTTCCTCCAATAAATTTTTTATTTGGGTGATCTTTTTATTTTCTTTTCCTTTTGTAATTTTTATTCTCTTAAAAAAATCCGCACTGTTTTATTTACAAATCAAGTTTATTGCTTGTGGATTGTAGTGGGCAAAGGGCTGGAAATATAGGGGAAAGAAAAAAAAATCAAATAAAACAAAACGTATTCTTAGGCAGTATCAAATATATTATTAATCATATACCAACACAACTGAAACCATCTATATTTGTATTCTCAAGTATGAAATGTACCACAACAACCATTACACTAAATTACATCATAAAGTATCAAATGAAACAAAGTGTAACCAAAAAAAAAAAAAAAAAAAAGAAGAAGAAGAAAGAAAGAAAAAAAAAAAAAAGAAAAGAAAAGAAAAGGGGAAGTTTTTTAAATCCCTTGAAATGATTGCGATGCCCTTGAAAATGATTCGAGCATCTTCTACCAGTCCTCTGAAAGGGCACTTCTCATTGGGACCATCTTCTATAAGTTAGACGATCTGCTCCACATCTGTTTATACAACTTTGTGCATGCCTCTTTAAAGAATTATGGTGAGTTCCTTATACACAGCCCAGAGTTTCGCTTTCAAGCTTTTGCAATTCTCCAATCTTCCATAGTAACCACTGACCCAAGCTCCCTTTTCATCACGGAACAACACAGCGAAGCCGCCATGGGCAGAGTTCCCTTCGATGCTCCCATCCGTATTAAGCTTGATCATTCCCGCAATGGGACAAGACCACATAGTTAGACTGGAATTTTTTTGGAGAAGTGATACTCATTCTGAAAACTTGAAGGATTTCATCAGAGTAATCAAAAATGGTTTTAACGCTATGTTTGTAGTTTTGTTCTCAAAAATCATTTTGTTACGATTTTTCCAAATGGTCCAAAGAGATGTAACAAACTCAACAAACCAAGACAGTCGATGATTCAAGGATGATTTTTTCTTCGAGTTACTCTTGATCCAATCCCTTAAAGGCTCATCTAAAGAACAAGAGTACCACTCCCTTCCAAAATTAGTCGCCCATGTATCTCTAGCTTTAATACATCCTCTAAACAAGTGATCCAAATCTTCACATTTGTACAATTGGGGCAGGTAGAGTTGTTAGAGAGTCCCGTAGACACTTTCACGCAGTTTGTAAGTAATTTCCCATTGATCACAATCCACATAAACATTTTGAGTTTAGAAGGGATTTTGAGTTTCCAAATCCACTTCCAATCTCCACTTTGGCAGGTGCGACCTCTAACCACATCATAGGCCATCGAAGTAGAAAACTCACCATCAAGTGAGCCTTTCCTTCATCATCATCATCGTCATCCACTCCTCACCCTCCCAACGACCAAACTTTCAATCTGAGTCCCAAACCCAAACTGATGTAGCATGCAATCTCCGGTGATCAAATTAGTAGTTTCTTTATTTTATTGCAATATTTCCATTTTTGGTAATTTTCCTTATTTCCATAGTGCATTATGGTAGTTGCCAATTCTAGTTGTTTCCTATTTCCATTTTTGTTAATTTTCTTTATATTTTCTTATTTCCATATTACATTATGGTGGTTGTCAATTTTGGTTGTTTCCTAGTTAAGTTAGGTCTATATTTTGCTTATAAATAATGGACGTAAGCCTTAGGAGTTAGGACTCTTTAGTTTTTGAGAATTAATATATTTCGAGTTTTATACTCTTTTGTTCCAACTTTAGGTATTCTTTGTGAATCAACGAGTCGAGAGAGGAATCTTACGTCTGGTATTCTTGTTTGAATCATCGGATTTTAAGATTATTCTTATTACGCGTTTCGCGCTGCATCCACTTATCAAACCCATAGCCGAAGCTTTTCGTGAGCTGGAGATGGGCAAATTGTTTCTCACTTTCATACTGCCTACAACCACAATGGTCTTGGCACTACACGGCAAAGATTCCTCCTCCGGAGTTTTGTATTCGATCTTGTGCTTACTTTGTGCTCCCTCAATCTGAATGTTAATGAGGAAAAAAACACCCAAACAATTCAAGAAAGAAGCACGTAAAATAATATTCTTTGAACTGAGTATAGAGCTTTAGGGAAGATATTTAATGAACTAGAAAAAAAAAAGAGGGTAAAAAGACCTAAAAATTGGATTTTTGAAATGCACAAGCATTTTGAAAATACATTCAATTTTAATTTGATTTCATGAATATTTTCCAATATCAAAAGATTCTTGAAACACTAAATTTTTTCTGTTGAAATTGCTTAAGATTTTTGACATTCTTCGAATTTCATTTATCACTTAGACGTTCAGCAATTTAAATTTTTTCTTTTGAAATAATACGATATGCTTAAGTGAAATATTAGAGAATCAACATTTATTTTTCAATTTTTTTACGGATTGTGCTAGTGCAGACGATATAATGCTAGTGGATGAGACTAGAGAAGGAGTTAATATAAAGTTGGAGATTTGGAGAAAAGCTCTTGAATTTAAAGGATTCCGGATAAGCAGAACTAAGACAGAGTACATGGGGTGTAAATTTAGTAACAGTAACAATGAAAGCAGAGGAGAAGTGAAGATTGAAACCAAGAACTGCCTAAGAGTGAACATTTTCATTATTTAGAATCGATTATCATAATAACGGGGGAGATTGATGCGGATGTGGCCCATAGGATTAAGGCGGGATGGTGTAAGTGGAGAAGTACGTCTGGGGTACTGTGCGATAAACGAATACCCACTAGACTTAAAGGTAAGTTCTATAGAACGGCTATTAGACCAGCGATGTTGTATAGGACGGAGTGTTGGGTAACTAAGAAACAACATGTAGATAAGATGAGTGTAGCTGAGATGAGAATGCTAATGCGGATGTGTGGCAAGACTAGACAAGACAAAATTAGGAATGAGTGTATTCGGGAATGGGTAGAAGTAGCACCGATAGAAGATAAATTGAGAGAGAATCGATTGAGATGGTTTGGTCATATTCAACAGAGACCCAGTAGTGAAGAGATGCGATCCTGTAACGGTAGATGGAAGTGTTAGGGGACGGGGTAGGCTTAGAGATATGGACCTACTTAATTTGACCAACGAAATGGCCTTTGATAGGGCCGCGTGGAAAAGAAAGATTTATGTAGCCAATGCCATTTAATGGGACTTAAAGCTTGGTTTGGTTTGGTTTGGTTTGGTTTATACGGATTGTATGTGAAAAGTAGTGATGCTTGTCTCAAAATGACTATCAAGTTACATAGATCCAGCAAAAAGGAATATCAAGTTGTATCGGGTTACGCTAGTAGTTTCATATATGGATGCGAGCTTTGGCTTATATTTACTGGGTCTTTTTACTATAGGAAAAGAAATAAAGAGTCCCTTCTTGAGTGAAAAAAGAATTGAATAGAAAAGCAAAGAAAAGAAACATTAGCTGAATCATTAGAATTCCACAAGCTGACATCCTAGTCGAAGGATCCAGGCTGTGGAGTTTTAATTGGATCTGACTAAACGACAATTTTTTGAATGAAAATTGGATCAAAATGAATGCATGGATTATGAATGCCTGTTGATTTTGTGATAGCAGAGAAACATACAATTGACATAGAACAAGAAGTCATAAGCTGCATCAAAGTCTATTTGGATAAATTTCTCTCTACGGTGATTTTTTAAATCGTTGACTCTTTGGAACATTCAATGCCTTCAACCTTCTGTAACCTGCTTATTGCTTTCCTTCAATTTCCCCCCCTTTTTCTATTCTGATTAATCAATTTGCTTCTGATAAATTCAACAACAAATTTCTTGAAGTCATAAGACTGCTTGCCTTGTAGTTAATGCTTCTTAGTATTTTCTTGATTTTGCCAACGTTGCATTTGTTCATACTTCTGTGGTTATGTTTAGGTAATTTGTTTGATTGGAGATGTTTCTTTTCTGCATGATACAAATGGATTGACACTTCTGAAGCAAAGGTAACAAGTTCTTTTATTTAGTTCTGTACATAATTTGGTGCATAATTATGCTTCTGTTCACATTGTTAGATCATCTCATATGCTTGTTTACATGGAGATATCCATGGACAATCATTACTATGCCAAACCAAACTTTCTACAAATATTTTGGTAAAACTATTGTCTAATCTGAACTTTAAAGTTGGACTCTTATCATAGCCGACATTTTCTTTCAAAGATCATTTTTACTGTGTCTGTATTCTGTAGTTCAAGTTCCTACAAACTTTTGTTAGTCCTTTTTTGTAGATATAGGGGTGCTTCAGCCTGCCCTTCCTGAAATATGATGCTCATTTTCAAGCTAAAAAAATTAAGTGTAGAATTCAATGTATAAAGAGAGAAATACAGAGAGAATAAATGTATCTATTGATGTATTCTATGTTGTGTTGAGCTCTCTCCTTTATAGAGGAGAGGGAGAACAATTACAAACCGAAAGTAGAAGCACAAACCAAACAACATTATTAAAGGTACATTATTAAAGGTTTGACAGCTAATATATAGACTAATATATACTAACAGCCCCCCTCAAACTCAAGGAGGATAGACACTAACCAACTTGAGTTTGGAGAGAGTAACAAAACAAGAAAATAAACTGACAAATAAAAATGGATAGGAGACACTGTATGGTCGTGTCGGACCGTTGTAGCAGGACAGTTTACGAGGTCATGCCGGACCGATGTAGAAGCTAATCGGAATCAATGTCGGGACAGTTTACGGGGTCATGTCGGACCGTTGTAGGAGCTAACCGGAATCAATGTCGGGACAGTTTACGGGGTCATGCTGGACCGTTGTAGAAGCTAACCGGAATCAATGTCGGGACAGTTTATGGGGTCATGCCGGACCGTTGTAGCAGACACTGTGTGGTCGGGTCAGACCGTGGGAGCCCAAAAGATATATATATATATATATAGATATATATCGCACCCTCAAAAGTCGGGCCCAATCTATCAAAAGGCGTGCCATCAAAAGGCGTGCCCAACAGAAATCTGCGAGCGGCGAGCCATCAAAAGGAGCGCCAGACACGCGGCGATGCACGTGACTGACAGAGTGTCGTGTCGTCCGCGTCGTCATTGG